ATTAAGCATGTGGATGTAGAGAGATCTGCATGAAAAATGCATGTGATCATAAGTAGCCTCGTTGACGAGAACCGGATGCACGGGGGAATGGAAGGGTAAATTCAGAAACAACCGGTGAAACCACAGCATTGTTGGAGTGTAAACCCAGCAGAGATGGTCTCCCTGCCCCATCGAGATGTCCTCCGTGGTGCTGTGACTCCTCCTTGTCTGTGCTGCCCGAAGGGAAAGGTTAGTGCCCTGTACTCCAGGCATAAACACGGATGTTTGTTTAGTGTCATTAACTGAGGATTTCACTGACTGTAGCTGACAAGTTGTGAGTGGGAAGTTATCTCCCATCAGTAGTGGCTGACTCAACAGATGCTGAATTGCTTTGGTATTTTCTACTCATCTCTGTTTTCTGGAAGGCTCTTGCAGTGGTAGCCTGTATTTTATGCATTTTCTTTCATTATTAATTTGCCTGGAGACTGTTAACATTTGCATATAGCTTTATTGTAGGTCTCTGAGGAGCTGTGATCTGATTTCTCTCATTTTCTGCCAGTGCTGTAGTGCCATATGGGACTTACCCAATCCTGTGAAGGTCTCATCAGCTCGTTAATTATTTTTATAATTTGGAGTTGTTAAACCACAGAATCTAAAAAAAGTAATTTAAAATCTGAACGCTGTAATGTATTCTTGGTCTTCACTTTCATTCCTCTTTGCCTATGGAAATGAATGAGAGTGTTAAAAATAAAAGGGATGTGGGAGGAGAAGGTATGAACCAGAGGTAAAAATTAGTGTTTAATTCCCCTATTCCTGTTGATGTTTTTAAGGGCAGTGGATAAACAGGTAATTTGGTGAGGAAATGGAATCAAACTCCCTGGAGAATTGGGCAGTAGAAAGTCTTAAAATCTTAAAGATCTTAAAATATTCTTAACATTTAAGAATCATGGGTACTTTATTATGTTGCTGAATTAGAATTGCAGAAGGAGTATGCTAAATATAAAGGCTTTGCTTTTCTATTATTGGCATCTGAATTTTGAGCATACTCTTTGCTCACTGCTTGTCTCTCTATTAACATTCTTAATTTCACACCCCTGCACTGCTACCTGTGAAAACAGCAGAAAGGGTGACAAGAGTGACATTTCAGCCTGGATACTGGTGCAGTTAACACTTCCAACTCAGTCTCATCTGGGCAGGCTTGACAGGGTGATTAAAGGTGCAGAATTAATTGGTAAATTCTCCCAGAACCTAATGTTTTGTTCACACTTGAGACCCACTAGAAACCCTTGGCTGCATGGGGGAGCTGGGCCAGGTGAGTGTGTCTGGCTGCAGAGAGACTGAGGCTGCAGCTCAGAAGAGTGAGGACATCCCTTTGTTTCATATCTTAATACTGAAGCCCTTTGGTGGCAAGTTGAGGTCTCTCCTCGGATCTGGCTGAACTATTTGCAACACAGAGAAACACTCTAGAAAGAGGAAGGAGTGTCTTACTGAGCTGCTCTTCAGAGACCACATGAATAACACTTTATTGCTCAATAATTGGTTGCACTCCATGTTATATGGCTCAGAAATAGGAAGAAAGTTTCTCTTTTGTTTTTCTTAGTGGCTGTCTTTCTTCTTCCCAAAATACTTTGTATCGCTGGGGAATGTGACTTGAGGAGAGCAGTTGAGGAGTTGAGGGGATTTGACAGCTTCAAGTAACCCTTAAAACAAGGCAAAGCAAATGGGCAGGACTCTTTCCATTTGAAGTTTTGTCAGGGTAACAAGCATGCAGCCAGCTTTGAGGGAGAACACAAGAATGTGAGGTTATTTGGGCACTGGTAAAAGTACTGAGAGAGAATTAATGGGAATAGAAGTGAGAAACTCACTTTGCCTTAGGGTTACAATATTCAAAGCATTCTGGGTACTTGAATGTCAGATACAAGTTAATGACTGAAGTTCTACTTTCCTCTTTTGAGCTGTAATTTGTGTGTGTGTGTTAAGCTCTGGACAAATACTAAGACACTGTTTTTTTCAAGCAGCTCATAGCAGAGGTATTGCTTTGCCACCTGCCTGAGTCAGGTGTATTCCAGCTCCTCCTTCACTTGAGGAAGTGTTTGTACAGGCACATGTTGCTGGCATGGGGAAGCTGATGGAATCTGATGAAGAGGGATAAGTTACAGCTGTACGAGTAGTTTAATTACATGCACATCTTGATTGTCAATTAGAAGTCTATTCTTTTTAGTAAGCTGATATCCCGATAAGTGTAGGGACTGGAAACTGGGAGATGAGATTTGGCAGGTTGGAAGGACATAGTAACATGAGGGCTGCTGTGATACGTGACTGGCTGTCAGTGCAGTGTTCTGCTCAGTGTTTTTAGGTGTGAACCAGTCTCTGAGCTGCAGGAAAGCAGTGAATACTTCTAAAAAATGTTTTGGTGTTTCTTTTTCTGAGAAAACAGGTGCATTCTGACCTTTTGTTTCTCCCTCACTGTGGTCTGGTGGGAGCACTTACTGAACACTGCATCATGCTTCTTGTCTTGTTTTCTTGCTTTCCTTGAATGCTGAAGCCCTGTGGAATTTATTTAATGTTCTCCTGAAGTGGAAGGATGAGGAGGCTGCAGAAATGAACAGAGGAGTCTATATATATTGAAACTGAAAGCTGAAACAGCATCTCATGAAATCATCTAAGCTTTGATGGCTGAACCTGCAGAGCTGCAGTAGCAGATTTCACCTGCCAGACCTGTACCTGTCAGTGGCAGGACTGGTGCACTTTGTGCTGAATCCATGTGGTGTTCTCATTAAACTCCAGAGTAATTGCCATTTCAGTGTTGATTGTTTGAAGGCATGGTATTATTGTTCACTACTCACAAAAATCTTATTTTCAGAAGTCCTGTTTTGGCATTGATTGCATGTATCCCTGAACCTTGGGATTCCACGAATTAAAGGTTTTGCTGCTGATCAACACATTCTGTGTACTCTGTCATCCCAATGATTCATCAGCTTTACCTCAGAGCCTTTGCCTACCTTTGTCGTGCTGAGCAGACCCATGGAACAAGGAGAGCTATCTGTGTTGGGTCCCTCTGGCTGCACTGCCCTTCCTTTGGAATCTCATGCTCAGCCAGGGATGGTGTTGCCAAAGAGAAGGGATAATGGAATGCATGACCCCACTGTAACACTGTTTTGGGGCGTTAGCTGCTGAGTGAAATGGCACTTGGGCCAATGCTGTTCCATGCCCGGAAAAGGACATGGAAGTGTCCTTTTAGCAGATATGCAGAGAGCTAAACTTCCCTTTGCCTTGCTTCTTGATAGTGGAGGTCAGTACTTTATCTTGTTGAGGTGCTTCTGCTTAGAGCTTGGCAAGGCACAAGTGTCTCAGCTCAGTTTATAAATAGAAATTCAGCATCTTCCCCTGGTTGGTCTGTCCGACAGCTGCGCCGCAGTGTGTTCCCCTTACACTGCTCCTCAGGGAGTTTTCTTTCACCAAACTTGACAGAGTGAGGCCTCTCAAACAGTCCACAGGTCTCTCTGGGATAGCAATCCAAACTGAGGCAGTTACCTGAAGCCTTTTTCAGGATTTTATTCATGCTCTGATCTAAATGATGCTCTGAGATTTGATTCAAGGTGGTGGTGGTGGTAGGTTTGGACAAGCCACCACCAGGATTGACTTTTCAGGGTGAACCTGCTCTATTTTCCTGTGCAGTCAGCAGTCTGGATTACCTTGAAGGGCAGGATCTCCTTGAAAGGCATTTCCCCTGGGAAACCTTGACCTTTCCTCTTTGCAGATGGGGTTACAGTAGGATACTAAGTGAAGTTTCTTGGTGCAAGTTTGATACATCTGATAAAGGTGGTTAAATTTGCTTATAGGAATTTGGGAGTGGATTTCCCTCCCTGAGATTTCTCTTCTCAGTCAAGAGTGTGTGTGAACGCATGTAAAGCTGTGAGTAATGCACTGCCTCGTGGGGTATTTATTTTATGTGCATGTGTTTATGTTAAGGAGTGTAAATGGTGGGAAGAGTAGGGTGTGGGAAAGCTAGACGACCTCCTGATCAGAAACCTTAAAAAGGCCTTGTTTGCACTACTCTCCTGCTGAGCATAATCCTAGAGGTGGAGAGGTTGTATGTTTGAAGCAGAGCAGAAGGTGCTTCGTTGTGCTGCATCATACTCCAGGCAGCACACTGTGTTCCTGCCTCATCTGAGCCCTGTCTGAGGAGGAGAGATCTGTGATTTTACCCATGACTTTGTCATCTCCCCAGCTGTGAAACTGTCTGAAATCCAGATTTGTATATATGCAAATATGTACTGGCCTAGTCCATATATTCCCTTTCTGCAGAAATCATATATCCTCTTTCTGAGTGACTATGTCCCAGTGGTTCAGGGCTGGTTTAAATTGCTGAAAGTCAGGGTTTTATTCTGTGTAGTTTGAATTATTTTTTCTTCGCTTACCCTTAACCACTTTTTTTTTTTTGTAGTTCTTGGAGCCACAAGACTTAGTCCTTTCCTATTTCTGTAACTTTATACTATTGCCCTTTTGCTGTTCTGCTCCCAGTGCCTCCTTAATTGACTAAAACTGACCTAATTTAAATTGAAACCTAGTCTGGTTTGGCTGAATTGGTTTGAAATCGTTCCTTATGCTGTACCAGAGCAAATACACAGATACACAAACCCTGTGTCCTGTTCCATGTGTGTTACCTGCTGGTCTGACTTACTTCATACTAGAATCTTGCAGATCTCTTTCTCTAATGTGGTTTCTATTTCTTCCCTTCAAATTACAGTTAAAGCAGTTTTATTAGCAGGTTTATTTTATTTATGAGCTGCAGTGTACTCTGTTGTTCAGTGCTGGCAGAATCTCTCCTGCCCCCAGTGTAACTCAGTCACAGCCAGATGTGCTGCAGAGCACAAAGTGGTGTTTGGTTAAGAGCTACATGTTCACAAACGAAGGCTTTGTTGTAGCTTTCCGTTGTGTTTCTGCTCTGTGTACCTAAGGAAGCAGGTTTGTGTAGCTTTGATAAGTCAGTGATAGCTCTGCAAACTGAGGCACGAGGCCAAATCTCTGGCAGAGAAACATCACTTGTGTCAGTACCATTGGTTGTGGCAGATCAGCATTGGGTCCAAACCTATTGCTGTGTGTAGGTTTTGGGTTTTTTTGGAAAACATCATAAATCTACTTTTCCCTGCAGATATACAAACTTCTTCTCTGTTTTCCATCATTGAACCTGATGCCTATGAAGTTGAGCTGATATTTAAGCCCTTCTTGACTCTGTGTTTCTGTCAGGATAAATATTCAGTGTTTCATAGTTTAAAAATTATATTTTTAGTCTTGTGGAAAGAGAGGAGACCTCATAGGAACTTTTCAATATCTGAAGGATCTGCAAGGAGCTGGAGAGGAACTCTGTGTGAGGAACTGCAATGATAGGCCAAGGGGTAATGGGTTCAGCCTGAAGGAGAGAAAGTCTAGATTAGATGTGAGGAAAAAAGTGGTTTACTATAAGGATTGCCCAGGGAGGCTGTGACTGCCCCAACCCTGGCAGTGTTCAAATCCAGGTTGGATGAAGCTTTGAGCAACCTGATCTAGTGAGGAGGTGTCCCTGCCAGGGCAGGGGGTTGGGACTAGGTGATCTGTAAGGTCCATTCCAACCCTTAAATTCTATGATTCTGTGATATGATTGTGGAATTTGAGTGTTGAAGGAACCAGATTTTGAAAAATAAGGTAATTACAGGTTAAATCTGCAGATAGCAATGAACTGGTTTGGGTAATTAATTTGGATTTAGAGTTGCTTAATTTCTCTTGGCATTTGCAAATCCCAAACTGATTTGTGGAATGTTCTTGGTTTTATTGAAAACATGTGTGACTGTTTCTGAGGGCAACTGTGTTTGAAGAACAAAGTAGAATCTGTATATAAATGGAGCTAGACAAGGAAACTTACTGAAACCATAGCTAATGTCTTTTTTTGGGGCGTCATGGTATCTGTATAAGGCAATTAAAGTCTATTCTGTATAAAGATTGTTAGCTGTTCTAAATGATATTTTAAATTCATAGCACTGACAAACCTGAAGTCTAAGTCTACATTTTTTTTCAGATGAAAATCAGAATTATTCATTAGAAGTAGACCCCAAAGTCATGGAACTTCTATTAATTCTTCAGAGTAAAAATGCTGTCAAGGATATCTATTTCTTATCTAAGTATGTCTTTCTATTAGAAGCTGCTTTTCAGTAGAATTGCCAGGATTTCTGGAATGAAACTAATTCAGAAATGAGGAGTGAAGGATGTTACTGAATTGGTGTCACATTAAAACACAGATTTCTGTTGATTAAAAACCTGTATCACTACAAAACTGTGGTAATGGAAAATATTAACTCTGTATGGCAATGAGCACTTTGTGTAAATTATTTTTAGTTATCTCTGTGTGCAGTGAGACTAAACTATTTGATTTGATTCATTGCAGGACCAGTTTGACAACTTAGAAAAACACACGCAGTGGGGTATTGATGTTCTGGAAAAGTACATCAAGTTTGTTAAAGAAAGGACAGAGATTGAACTCAGCTATGCAAAGCAGCTTAGGTAAGTTGATATGTAAAGTTCTGGATTTCAAGTTGCATCTGTTCAGAGCCTGTAATCAAAGTTTGCTGTTTCAGTGGTGATTTTGTTTGTAATAATGGCTTCTAGAAAATAGCTTTAATTGAGAGATTGGAAAGCTAAAGTTAATTTTAAGACACTGTTTTATCGTCTCTGCTAATAATCATTTGCTTTGCAAAAAGAAAGGTTATTTAGGTGACTGAGTAGCACACTAGAGCTTACTCATGACTTAGCCATGATTAATAGCTCAGGCTTTGAGGACAGCATTGTAATGTTTTCCATGAAACTGGGGCTGCTGCATGTCAGTGCTGAAGGGTTTCAGAATTCAGCAGAATAATGATCACTTGTAAAGTGAAGTTTAGGTTTTCTTTTCCTGGGACAGGCCCTTTTGGAGTGCACGTAGGAGAAACTGCAGGTCAGAGAGTCAGTCCCAGCCCTTGGAAATTTTGCCATGTTGCAGCCTGAGGTTTGAATTACAGTTTTATAATCTTGCCACAGGTGTTGTGAGGTGTCTCCTGAACAGAGCAGGGATTTTTGTGTCTTCATCTCAAATAATTCCTGCTAGGTACTTTGTACATATCTGGTTTGACTATCAGGTTGATAGAGACCAGTATGTCTGAACCAGACCCAGAAAACCTATTCCTTCAGGTCAGAAACAGTGGAAATGGGAAGGGGTCTTACGAACACTCCCACAAGTAGATCTTACCCTGCTTTTCCCAGTAAGGTAAAAAAAAAGTTAGCTGGAGCTAACTGGTGAGGGGAGAGCAGCAATAATCCTTCTTAGCCCCTCAGGTAAATCCACACCTTTTTTTTTTATGATGATGATATTAAATATTAGAACTCTTTCCTTCTGCTCAGTATTTATAGAGATTGAGATCTGAGGCTCTGGTTGGTCTGGGTGTATCTAAAGCACAATGTCTATGGAAAAAACAACCAAGCAAGCAGAATTTGCTTGTGTTCAAATGGATTAGAGATGCACAATGGGCTGTGATTTATGAGGAGCTGGGAGTTGATAAAACCCTGCCTTGCTGGTGATGTGCTCTCTCAAGGGAATGCCACGAGGGTTCCCCAGGGTTTCTGCTATAGACAAGCAGGAAATAGAAAATGACTCGTGCAGGAACAAATTGCTCACATCCTATGGAGATGAGCAGAGATTGAATTACAGAGGCAAAATGAGCTGGAAGAAAGAATGTGTGACTGGACTGGGAAACCCCAGCAGAGTATCTGTGTGAGCTGGTCTGTCTTATGAGCCATCCCACACGAGACTCACTGGGTTTCTTAGGGTGACAAATTTCAGGTGTTCAGAGCTTAAGTATGCAAATAAACCCAAACAAAATGTTTCAGGAAAATGAGAAGATAGTCACAGATAAAACTGCCTCAAAACTCTGAACTTCTGAGTTTTAGTTCATATTCTGTTTCTTGCCTCTCTGTATTTTTATGGCTTGAGGACAAATACATCTGTCCCTGAGGAGCTCTTAAACACAGGGCTGCTTGGAGTCAGCCAAGAAGTTAGAGGTATAAAAGGAAAAAAACCTGAAAATGTAGGCATGTCAAATGTTGAGATAAAACAGTGCTGGACATTAAAAACAAAAGTCCTGCATCTGCTCTTATTTAATAAGTCTCCTTAAGCCTGGTGCAAACCTTTCTTGTACCACGTGCATTTGGTGTAGAAGGGTTACAGCACATCTCTGTGTGTCATATTGTGAAGAAAATACTGTTAAAAAGGGACAGGTTAACTCAAGGTTCTCCTGTGGATTTAACTCAAAATTTTATTTCTAGGCTAAGTAAAACTGTTGAAATTAATTTTCTTTTGTGAAACTTGTTTTGTGCTTGGTCCCTGGGCTCCCTAACTAGCTATTTTTCTTCTCTGGCTGTCTCATCTCAGCCTGGTCATCTGGTTTAATTGGCTTCTATTTAAAAATATATCCTTGTTTCCTCTTTATAATTTTGCAAAGATCTATGTAATTTGTTTTGAGTTAGACCTACATACCACTTACAATTCACCCTGGTTTGAGAGTCCAGTTCAGATCTGTCATAATTATTTTCTTAAATGTTTTATATTCTATTTATTGAGTCATTAAACCAGGCTGGGTGGAAAGGATGCAGGACTCCTGGGTAGTGTTCATTTGTCCTGTGTTTAAACTTCCATGGGATGTGGACATGCTGGATGCTGTGCTGAGTGCTGAGGTGGTTTCCTTGCCCTCCTCCCCTAGTCACCACTTACCTGACAGCACACACACCCTGAGCATCACAAAGGCTGTCAGAAGCCCTGATTAATGTGATGATGGGTCCCTAGCCTTGAGGAAGATGTGTTGGAAAAAATGCCTGAGGTAACAGGATAATCTGAGAATCAGAACCTCTGATGGGTGACAAATGTGAGAGAAAGAGGAAGATGTCAGACAAGCTGAAATAAGGGAGCAGAGAAACAAGCTGGAAAGGCAGAAAAAAGTGATGCAGAGTGAAAGGCAAATAGAAACACACATCAGACAGGTGCACTGGGTAGCACAGAATCTTTCCAGACCGGGTATTTTCCTGCTGGTCTTTGTTCTCATGTGTTAGTTCCCTCTTTTAATTGCTCTTAGTGCTGAAGGTGTCACTGCTTTGTGAGCTTAAACCTGGGAAGTGCTGGTGTGACACTGCACTATGACATCTGAACTTCAACAACACTTCTGGATTCAGAATCACTTCTCATATTTTTTGTGTTTGTATCTTGGTTAAAACCTAGTGTTTGTGATTTTAAAAGGGGAAGAAAATGAGCAACTCATATAGACTCTGTGTTGTATAAAGTGCACAGAAGAAAATTGTGTTTAACCCAGATGCTAATCCTTGCTAGGTGTTTTTTTCCTGTGAAAGCATACTGTGGAATTTTTTTTGCCTCAGCTCTGCAGCATTTTTGCACCTTTAAAGATTGAGAGGAAGCCAGTAACTGTGTGTGTCAGAATTAATTGGGCAGCGTGACAGAGCAGAGAGATGGAAGTTTTGACTGTGTGTGAAAATGCCTTATTAGTGTTGCCTTCTGTGCATGTTTTCTTGTGGCTTTTCCTTTCCTCTTCAAGCAGGTGCATGGAGAAGAGGCACAAAGGGTGCTACAAGATTTACTGTCATTATGCAGAGCAGTTTGCAGAATTCTTCCCATGCTGGTGGTGTTTGGTGGAAGCTGCTGCATGCAGAACTCTAGTTCAGTTTTTCAAAGCATGAGGAGGCAGAGACTGGGAGGGAGATGCTCATTTGGATCTCTTCCAGTTGGGATACTTAAATTTGGAGAAACACATGTTTGTCTGTGCAAATCTGCCAGGGTTCTGGCTACTTCTCTGTTTGGGCAGATGCTCCTTAATTCCTCAAGGAGAACAAAAGGAATAAGAAATGTGAGACGAGGGGCCCTGCTGTCTCCCAGTCAGCACTGGAACCAGCATCAACCAGGAATGGGTTATGCCTTGGAAAAAGCAGTTTCTTTTCAACTGGATGTGTTCTGTGAATCCTCCAAAGAGTTTGGCATGGATAAGTCAATGAAATTTGGTCCTCCTTTGGACAATGATTCCATCAATACTGCTTGTATGTTGTTAGGTGCTGAAACAGCCTTGTAAAGCCAAAACAAATGGCTTCTCTTTCACAACAGGGTGAGAGGAAGACAGTGATAGGGATGAGTTTAGGACAGAGGAGCATGGAAAAGACCTTAAAATTGCTAAGTGAGATTTGTCAGCTATCTGGTGTGCATTGGATAAAGGGTGCACAGGGTTGTGCTGTGCTCCAGTGCCACATGCATTGTAATGCTGAGCTGTACCAGGTGCTCTGAGGGTCAGGTGGGCAGCACACCTTCATGAATCCCTGGATTTGGTGCTGGTGATTGCCTTGCAGGGCAATGAAAGCCTTATAATAACCCTCAGATGTACTAACAGTGATGATCAGGGTTCTGATTCAAGATGCAATCACGTGAAGAGCATATTGGTGTTTTAAAATTAAATCATTAGTGCTGTGGGGTAATGAGATGCAATCAACTGTGCTAATTGGGACAATCAAATTTCACACTTCCCCCAGCATCAGTTGCTAATCATAACATGATCCCCCTTTTGCCAGCTCAATGCAGCTTCCCATAGCTTTATGAAGGGCTTTTTTTCCCTTGGAATCATCCTGCTAAATACAGGCAAACTTGCTTGGCCAAGTTTGCTGCATCAGATCACCCTTCCATGGGTTGCTTGTACTGTGAAAGAATCTGCTTTAGGTCAGGTGAAGGAGGTTTGTGCATCAGCAGAACCAAGAGCCCAGGTGTATTGACTTCGTGACCTTAATTCAGGACCTTCATTAGTTCAGAATCTGCTACTTTACTGCAGTAACAGAGACTGGAGCACTGGGCAGCCCATTGTTTGGGTGCCACTACAGCACCATCAAAGCCTGTAGAGGTGTCTAGTCACTGCAGAGAAAAACTGAAGCCCCACAGAATGTTTGTGCATGCAAAGATTATCCAGTAAATTTTAAAAGATGTTTTGAGATTTGAATTTGATCTGTGTTTTTGATTTTAGGAATCTTTCCAAGAAATACCAACCCAAAAAGAACTCCAAAGAGGAGGAAGAATACAGGTATGTTCATGATCCACTGCTGGGTGAGCACACATTGAGGGAGGAAGGGGAAAAGTTTGGGTCAGGAGCTTGTAAAGCAAAGATTTTGAAGTCAAGTTTAAGAATATAGAAATCATATAAACAGGCTTAAGTGCTGGATACTAAGGAGTGGATTTGGTCTGTAGATACTCAGTTCCTCTTACATATTATGGTTTCTGGATGCCTAGTTTGAGGTAGGTTTTTTGTTTCATTTTTTGTTAACGTGCCTTAAAAACTTTTAAGCCAGCCTGATCCTTTCTCTTTGAAGTGAGCAACCAAATTCATATCTGCTTTCAAACAGTTGTTTAGCATGAAACATAAGCACTCTGCCTAAGTATTAAATTACTCAAATGGGATGACAACACAGATTAGGAACTCACTGAAGGGATAATGTTCTAACAGCACAGAGAAACCAGTGGCTCTTGACGAGTAGGGTGAAGGATGTAGTCTGTACTCCCAGTATCCTGGGATGCAGCAATGCATAACTTGCTGCTGTTGAAGGCTGTTAGCATGAAACATAAGCACTCTGCCTAAGTATTAAATTACTCAAATGGGATGACAACACAGATTAGGAACTCACTGAAGGGATAATGTTCTAACAGCACAGAGAAACCAGTGGCTCTTGACGAGTAGGGTGAAGGATGTAGTCTGTACTCCCAGTATCCTGGGATGCAGCAATGCATAACTTGCTGCTGTTGAAGGCTGTTGCACAGCTTCACCTTTCTGCTGTTGATTCACCTGTTCAGCCTCTATCTCCCCATGGCAGGGGATGATGTGATGCTCACAGAAAGTGACTGTGGCATCAGAGCATAGACCACGTGTTGTTAAGAACACTCCTGCCCTCGATGAGAACAAAGACATTCTTTGAGCAGAACTTTCCAGAAGAGATGCTTCCCAACAGACAGGCTGTAAGCCAGAGTTGAGAACCTTTTCCCTCAGAGCACTGGGACTGGAGTTTCTCAATGTCAGTGTTTTGTAATGCAGCTTTGCACAAAGGCATGGCAGGGCCTGACCCTCAGCCTTGTCTTGCAGGAGGCTGCTCTGCCTCTGGAGAGCCCAGCAGCAGCCCCAAACCCTTGACCCTGAAATTTGAAACATTTCAGATGAGTTTGGATGTGGGTCCAACTGGATGATTCTATTAATGTAGATTTTTGGGTCAGACCCTCAAGCTGCTGTATGAGGCTCCAGTGCCTTGAATCAACAGAGATAACAGCCTTGTCTTTTGCTTTTTACATTTATTTTTAGTAAGATTGTTTGGGAATCAGTTATTTATGCCATTGTTTCCTGAGCTATTGGTATTTACACAAGAAAGCTTATGTTACCAGAGCAGCCTCTGCTTTGGTCTGTACCCAGGATTAGGAGTAAATCTGCCTTTGGATAGCTCTACCATAAATGGGTATTTTGAGTTTACTACAACGTTTTTGACACATCTTTCATTGCTGCAATAGGATATTGCAGTTAAATGATCCTATGTGAGGTGGCACAGAAGATCCTATGTGTCCTTTGCCCTTTTTAAATAGAGTGTTCACCTCAATGTAGTTTCTTTATGTCTCAAAACAACGTCTGGAGATTTGTCATATGACCTTTTTGTGCCTCAGATGCTGTTTTGAGACAGCCTGGCTAAAAATCAGCTGCTTTCAGGCTTATTGTCAGTCTAGTTCTGTGGCTGTGATCCCCTGGAGTTTGCAACTGGGATTTCTCTCAAAGCACCACAGCTTGACTGTGAACTGGACTGTATTTTTAGCATCCTTTTTTTTTCAGTTTGTTCTTTTCTCTGATGCCTTTTTCATCCCTCCTTGTACCACTCCCTTTTATTTCCTCTAAATTGCTCCCTCTTTGCTTTTTCACCTTTGGATGACATTATCAGTGTGGCCATTACCATTTAATAATAGTTGTTCTAGTATGTCCTAGTGTCTTGCTGCTGTTTTCCAGCTGCCCAGCACAGCCAGCTGAGAGATTTAAATGCAGCTCTGTTGGTGCTGGGCTGAATATACCAGTGACATAATCTGCTGTTTTCAAATTGTGTGCACAGATGTTTGTTTCTTCGTTTTAATAATACATGGAATGCTGTAGAGGAGATTTATTTTATATGAAAAATAAACCTTGTGATGGAAGGTACTTAAAAATATGGGTTGACAATAATAGTAAACTCACTGCTTATTTGAAGACTTCATAAACTGTAGTTGATTGAAATCCAATTTACGCTATGAAAACCTTTCTTTTCTAGGCTATGCTGGCCAAAATTTTGCTTGCTTAGACAGGATTTTGCCAGGTAGGATATACTGATGACTCTGTGCACTGAATGGTAGGAATTGAAAGAGTATAACTAGCAATGTTTGGTGCATAGAGATTAGAATAGCAAAATCCCAGAGCTGTGCTGATAAAAACCTGGCACTCTAAAGTGGTGATATTTTTAAGAGCCAGTGTCAAACTGTCTAAATCGAGATAGATTTATCAGACAACTGTCAGTGTGTGGGATAGGCTTCCTTTGAGAAATTCCTGCCAGTGAATCTGTGCTAATTCATATTCAGTCTCACGTAGCAATGCTAAATGCTTCAGGAGGATCCAGCCTCCCTTTGCAGTGTCTGTCTGAAAAGAAAGGGACTCAAAGCAAAATGCATTTTTGTCCTTTGCAGGTACACATCAACTAGAGCCTTCCTAGCCACTTTAAATGAAATGAATGACTATGCTGGACAGCACGAGGTCATTTCAGAGAACATGACCTCTCTTATCACTGGAGAGTTAACACGCTATGTGCAGGAGCTGAAACAAGAGAGGAAATCGGTAATTGATCCTTTTTTTATCTGTTATTCACAATTCATTGCTATTTAAGACAGCTAATTAGAGGTAGTAGAGTTCAATGTTAAGTAAAATTTGTAGTTAATAAACATGAGCTTTGCTAATGAATTAAGCATTAAAGAAGTGGGTTATGTGCCCTGGCCAAGTCACTGAACCATTTGAATCAAACGTTATAAAATGGGACAGCAGTGCCTTGAGGAGAATCCCTGCTAAATAAGGTCAGAGTCCCATCTGTGCTTAAGGCTCTGCTAGCCAAAAACTTGCTTGGGGAAGAGTCCAGCAGCACTGTGTGAAGCCTGAAGTAAACAGAGGAACTGTAGTACTGAGGCTGATTGAAAGAGTTATGTGGATTTTGGTTTACATTTTTCTGCGTCTCAGCCAGATCTGGTCAACAGGACTTTGTGAAGTTATTCTAATGAGAAATATGGGATCTGTATTGTTTGGTGATGGTGGGGAGTCTGGTTTTCACCTGTTGTCCTTCCAGACTGGGAGACTTAACAGCTTTATGTTAGTACTCTATTTTAGCTAGGACTTTAGGAACCTATGTACCTCCTACAGTGAATGCTCAAAGCTGATTAATTTGCACATCATCAGCTCTGAAAAGGAGATAGTTGAGATGTGATTTCCTTCCTTCCCTTGAACCCTTTTATCCCCTGAATACAGGGGCATAAAATCGGGATTCTAAGCATTATTGCTACAAATACTCATAGCACAGGTACAAAATGACTAAGCAAAGTGCAAAAGGGGCATCAGGGCATTATATTTCATTTCCAAACTGTTGGCCTATTCTTGTAAGTGGCAAAATAGTCCTGCTCAGTCCAGCAAAACTTAGGCATTTATAAATAGTCCCACTAAACATTAAGCATGTGTTGAAGTGCTGTGCAGGACCAGAGCCCTGGAAATCACCATCTTCTCCTAAGTATAGTATTAGGATGATAAGTCTGTCAACAGAGGAAAAGAAGATATAGACATACCTTTAATTTGCAGAATGGTGTGTAATCTTGCAGGGATATAGTATTTTGGCAGCAGCATGGAAGGATGCTTTGCATATAGCTGCCATGAGAATGTTTCCTCAGCCACTCTGTGACCTTCAGCACGGATATGTACAAGAAGCAAGGCAAAAAAAAAAAAGCATGTGTGGCTTTTTCTGTCAGCTCAAGTGTGTTTACCTAATTCTTCAATTATGAGTGTGTAAAGCAATTAGACTATCTATTAGACATTTTAAGTGTGATGGAAGAGGACTTGTAAAGAATGTGAGCAATATCTAGTGCTTTTTGGTTTTGTTTGCAAACTTCCTTAATAAGTATAGCTCATAAGTAATGGGTGAATGGCAGGAAAATGGTTTTAATACTGCTGAGTAATAACAGTATGGGAACAGCAAAACCCCAACTGACTATTTACCTGCTGTTGCTGATAATTATTAGCCTTTAACAGCAAACAGTTGTCAGTCATGGTTGTTTTGTTCTTGCAACATGAATAGAAGCTATGTGAATCAGAAATCCTTGTCTGATTCTTGTAGGTCTCTCATTTATGAGAAAACAGTGTTGAAAAGGAAACTGCTCCTGCCCTCAGGCACTTTTCATGCACAGCCTCTCTCACTTCCTATTGTAAAAGCATCAATCATGCTGGGATCTGCTGGAGGTGAAGGTGGTTGTTGTGTAAATATCAGGGAGGGCTGCAGCTTTGGCAAAACCTTTAATGATACCAATTGATGAATCACTTGGTATTTCCAGAAATTTTGCTGGCAGAGTTCTCATACTCACTGCTTGCTCTGCCATTAGCTGTTGTGCTGCAGGTTCAAAGAATGATTTGACTATAAAAGACCCTTACGAGACCATAGAATCATAGAATTTAAGGGTTGGAATGGACCTTACAGGTCATCCAGTCCCAACCCTCCCTACAATGGGCAGGGACACCTCCTCACTAGACTAGATTGCTCAAGGCCTCATCCAGCCTGGCCTTGAACACTGCCAGGATTGGGGCAGCCACCACATCCCTGGGCAACCTGTGCCAGTGTCTCACCACCCTTATTATTGAGTCCAACCATTAACTAACACTTCAGGTCCACTAAGTAGCTGTAAGTTGTAAGAAAAATCATCACTTCATGTGCTAGGGCCATGTGTAGGAATTGGGAGACTCACATTCTCATCCACTGAGTCTTGTATAATTTGAATTAAGTCATTCAGGTATCAAAATACCTGTAAAATTGGACAAGTTTCCAGCTCTTTCAGTATGGCTGAGATCGATAAGCACCCTTGCCCTTTTTGTTGTAGTTTCCCACATGGAAGATGGAAATGATACACAGCAGTGTTAAAACTATGAATGTGTGAAAGATTAATTCAAGTTCAGCAGAAAGTGGTCAGGCAAATCATAGAATGGTTTGGGTTGGAAGGGACCTTAAAAATCAACTAGTTCCAGCGCCTTGCCATGGGCATGGACACCTTCCACTAGTCCAGGTTGCTCAGAGCCCCATCCAGCCTGGCCTTGACACTTGCAGGGATGGGATATTCATCCCATTTCCAAAGGAAATCCTTTGATACACAACAGGAGTTGTGTGATGGAGGCATGGGGGATGAGGATGGTGATCTTTAAACATGTGGGGGCTGGTGCCTGCCTGCACTGCTCTGCTTTCACACTCATTTAGCTCTATTGATTCAAGTGGAATTACACCAGCAGATGATCAGGGTCACACAGGAATAAATCACACTTCTTGGGTTTTCTTTGGCAAGTACAAGCCCCTGGCCTGTAAGTGTTGCAGAACCTGATACTGTATCAAGCCTTACATGGGTATTATGCTGGATAAAATGAATTTGGCATGCAATTTGTACCCATGTTGGGTTTGTTTGACTGCTGTGAAAGGTGTACTTGATGGCTGCCTATGTCATGTTTTCTCCACACAAGATAGTTGCTAGTGGTGAAAATAAGGGAAGAAGCAGCTAATCAAAACCAGGCAGGACAGTCTGGAGCCTGGACAAGTGAGATGACTTGCAAGTGCACAGTGGTTTGGTGCTGTTGTTGAAAAGACTCATACCTCCTCTGGGTTAGCGTTACATTTTTACAGACTGTGTGCTTTGTTGCACGATGGCTTTTGATCATCAGAAAGCAGTAAGAAAAATCAGGCAGACTCTTTTTTATGAAACTTGAATATCTTTAGCAACACAGATCAATACACTAGACTTTATCCTATTATGCCTTCCCTTTCCATAGGAGAGGTCGTGTTGATGTTGTCACTGTACCAGACGAGTTGTTTTGCCCTCACAGTCACTGGAATTAGGCACACCCTGCCTGCTTTTCACACTGTGTGTGTGTCAGAGGGAGAACTCCTCATGCTGTTTCAGTTCTTCCCAGCTGCCTAGTGAAGTGAAACTGTTTGTAGTGAAGTTCCTCACTTCAACTTCTTCTTGTATTCTCTTGATCTTAGTGTGTCCATGCTCTCACATGAATAATTTTCATCCTCAGCCAGGTTTGGCTAGCTGCTTAAAGGCTCAGATTTCAGTTCTATGTTATGTGTGAAGGTCATACCCCATCCACCTTCCTTTTGAGGTTATTGAGGCCAGATGCCTGTGACTGAATTCCCCTTCACTGTGGGAAGACCTCCATCACCAAGCCCAAAAAAATGAGTCAGGGGATCATCTCTTGAGTGGTTCAGGAAAGGAATGTGCTTCTGTGGTCATGCTTTGTGCCACCCCAATTTCACCAAAACATTACTTTGGGATAGCTGTGGAAGGTGTCAAGTGTGAGGTGGGGGCCCTGTGGTGTTCAAGGCCAGGCTGGATGAGGCCTTGAGCATCCTGGTCTAGTGGGGAGGTGTCCCTGCCCATGGCAGGGGGTTGGGACTAGATGAGCTATAAGGTCCATTCCAACCCCTAAAAAAAATTGTATTACAAAATTGGGTCTTAATCTTCCTTGTCTGACAAGAAAAGGAGATGATCCCAGTAAAGAGTTCTACTCCCACCATTGTGACTGTTGCTGAGTGTTATGGTCACTCCTAACCAGACCAGTTATTCTCCATATGGGAGAAAAATTACCAGCATTTTGATTGCTTAGGTGAAGCAACCTGCTTCTCCACACTGCTGGGCATTCCAAGTTACTCAGCATGCTTTGTTCTGTTAAAATGAAAATAAAATTAAAAATCTAGGCAGTGGGATTTTTTTCTACCCTCTTTTTGGGTAACACCTAAGAGGACTTTGGAGTAAACATGTAGGCAGTGCAGCCCAAGCATTGAGAATTTGTTTGTTTGGGGTTTTTTGCTCTTAACACTTCACAGGAGATAGCTTGGTTTACATATTCTCTCAAGTATGGCTGAGGAAACCCCTCAATGCTGTAGTTTGGATAGAAATTCAAATATTATTTCCTGGGGCAATTCTGATTTAGATCTGTGGTCGCAAACTAGGTCTTACTCATGGCCTCTTCTGGCAGCAGCTGCTCTGTAGCCACTGCTCATGTCAGCTTTGCTAAAAATGTATTTGGGAGTCATGAACTGTCCCTCTTATTACTGCTGCTGCTCTCACCTCTGCCTCCACCTCCCCTTGGGGCTGGACTGGCTCCATACAATCAAGCATGAAAGTCAAGTAGAAGCCAAAAGCTTTGCTGCAGACTGAACTGGTGCAGCACTGGGATTCTGTGGTTGGGAGAGAATTTACCTGATGTCAATACATTCCATTTTGTGTCAGGATAGAAGGGGAACAGGGAATGAATGTATCCTTATGGGTACTGTGGGGGTAAAACCAGTCTGGTTCTTTTATGGTGGGGTATGTGCACCCTCCCTGTGTGCATTCATCCAGGGTGTGCATGTCAGAGAACTTTCTGTTGCTTGTAGGTTCTCAGGTGTTGATGAAAAGTAAATAATTGGAGGAATTCTGTCACGTTCAGTCATGCTGAATAGTGCCCTGTTCTGCAAATAGTCCTGTGGTTTCCAGCAGGATTTCTCCCAGCACAGTGCACCCTGCAAACATGAGGCAGGATGGCACCACACAGCCCTGTCA